ATGGTCATATGTTTTATTATTGCATTCTTTTTCTGTTAACAGAGTTTAAAAAAAAAGGCACTGGCACTGTGCTCTCCACTGGAAAGCACAGTGCCAGGTACACAGTGGTGTAAAGGATGCCGATGAAACTCTAAAGTATTTTTAACACAGTGAAATCTGTCAGCAAAATAGATTTTGAAGGCTCAGTTTTGCCGTTGTCGAAATATGAATAGAGAAAGTGTGCAAAACAGTCTAAAATTGAGCTTCTGATTAATCAGAAATATGGAATAATCTGTCCTTATTAGGCCCCAAAGTTTTTCTAGTTTAATAACTTACAACAGTGAGATAAAGTTTGCGTGCATGTATTTGTGCATGGCAAATTAACATGGTGCTAGACAGATCTGGCTGGGGAATGAATCACAGGTAGAATAGACAGAATGCTTGCAAATGAAACACCCAGCTCTGCTTATAGCAACAAAGGAAAGACTTGACTAAAATAGCACCATATTATTCCTAGTACACTTATTTCATTTGGTAAATTCAAGTTTGAAGTAAAAAAAAAACAAAAATGAGAAATTATATTTGATGAGCTATTTTAATTCACATTTTGTTTTTATTATTCTTGTTTACTGTAAAAACAGAGATCCTGTACAATTATTAGAATGAAGGATGTGGAATATTATTTATGGAACTGAAACAAAATAAAATAAGTTTTGCGGGCAATTAGATGTATGCATTAAATCTTAATTCTGCTCTTGAAAAATTAAATATGGAACCTGATTGGTTGGAATATGGAATCATTCCAGTTTTCTATGTGCTAGCTGAGTAAAAAGGAACAGCAGGAACAGGCAATGTCTTGTCCCACTGACCTTATTGACTTGCAGAAAGTCTCTGGTGCAGAATATTGCTTATACCTTTTACAGGGTCATATATTATGGTTTTCTGTACCTAAATCAGTAAGTGGGGGAAAGGGAATACCCATTTTATGGAGCATACTAGTATGAACGTTAAAGTGACATTAAAGTCTAAATTACCCCCAATGTTGGTGTAGGGACTTACCGTAAATGATGCCTCCTATCCAACCCTCTTCTTCTTTCCAGTAGTTTTCAGGAGTCCCTCCAGTGCTGGATCTCTGTCTCTGATCCAGCGATTACTCTGGTCTCTACTGTGTCCCACGGTGTCTGTGCGGGTGCACGCCTCCGGGCTGCCTGTATTGATTTACACTGTGTCTCTCCTCTTCCCTTGAAGATCTCTACTGCGCATGCGCCCGCCCCATGAACCTTTGCTGCCCCCCGCGAATCTTCGGAGGGGAGCGAGCGGCGGAGACACAGGTAAGTTTTTTAACCTTTTTGGTAACTTTTAAAAAAAAATGTTTTTGCATATATCTACTGCTTGCTTGCTAAAAAAAATTAGGGTTTAATTATCCTTTAACTGCAAAATCTACAATACCACATATAAGTTGTTGTCATGGGAATTTCAAAAGAATGTTCTGAGTTTTGAAAAAGTGTTTTTTTTTCTCCTTTTTTCTATTTTCTTCCACACAAAATATATAACAGCAGGCAGAATAGATTCCATTATGACACAGTTTAAATTTTTCAATCCATTTCATACATGAAAAACATTATTTTTTTGTGTTGTTTTGTTGTCAAGTTAAGAGGAGGTGGAGCGCATTTGGGCTTTGTAATTTGTGTGCCAATTCAAAGTGGGAAAGGGTGTAGGGGATGAGAGGGGCACGTTGTGGGAGATAATGGTAAGGGGGAGAGAGGGTGGGGTGGGATAAACTTGTTTTGGCTTGCGTTCCACTTCAGTCCAATTCTTATGATCAAAGGATTTCAAAATGTCTTCCCTTCACTGCAAAAGCTACTCAATGTAATAGCTTCATTTTTAAGCCTCATTCTTATAATTAGTCCTGACGACCATTGGCAGAAAGCCCATAATCCAAAATGTTACAGTTGCTATTGGAACATGATTGGAGGGGGAATCTTCCAATGGAGACGCTGTTCCGGTGATAGCATTCTAAGAGGGAATTTCCTCTTACTTTGGAGATATTACCTCTCACTTCCTATTGTGTCTCTGTGATGGAAGTGAATGAAAATGTCTCCAGTATGATAGAGATAAGCTTAAAGGTGGCCATACACTGTACAACCCTCGCAAGACTCTTGTTTTGCGAGGGTTGTAAAGTAATTTAAAAACGTACGATCTGCCCATCTTGGACAGGCAGATCGTACTTGCGATCATCGCAAACCCGACCCGCTGAGGGGCGGGTTTCCGATGACTGCAATGCTGAATGGGCAGTGTGCACGTGCGCACACCAGCCTGTTCGGCAGTTGTCGAACAAGCACGCCAATAACCCGCCGAGAATCGTACGATTCTCGGTAGGTTTTCCAGCCTGCTAGTTCGACAGAAGACGTGCGATCGTACAGTAGAAACAGTCGCACATCTTCCATACACTTTGCGATTATCGTACGATCGCGGGATTTCCAGCGATTATCGTGTGATAATCGTACAGTGTATGGGCACCTTTAGAGTCTGTCTGTGGGCTTTTGTTCACATCAAGACCATGCTAGCTGGGATCTGCTTCCTGCTTGCACTTGCATGCCTTCCATACACTTTGCGATTATCGTACGATCGCGGGATTTCCAGCGATTATCGTGTGATAATCGTACAGTGTATGGGCACCTTTAGAGTCTGTCTGTGGGCTTTTGTTCACATCAAGACCATGCTAGCTGGGATCTGCTTCCTGTTTGACATGGTCAGTTTGAAACAGGAGCAAGGGTTCAACAGGTATTTAACAGCAACAAAACAAAGAACATTTAAAGGTCTATATGAATAGTCCAATCAAAACAGGAGCAGACAGAATCTGGAGCAGTTGCCCGAAGCAACCAAGCATCTCTCTTCAGTTTGCTCAGGTAAGATTTGAAAATGAGAGAGAGAAGCTGATTGGCTGCAGTGCAAATCTGCTCCACATTTTGTCTGCTCCAGTTTTAATAAATACCCCCCAAGGAGTCTTCATTTATGGGGCAACATGCACTTTAAAGCAGATATCCAACATTTTCAAAAGTTAACCCGCACTGCAAATGTTAACTGATTGTTTTGGTCTAGAGAACAGAATAAAGAAAATACATTAATCCGATCCTGTGTCGGTGAGCGTTCACCCTCAGGGTAGTCACATTAAATGCAAATGAATGAAACTAGCATAGATGTGTTGACATCAGCCCAGCTTAGACCAGGGGAGGAGAGGCTGTGGGGAACAGTCTAGCGGTCAGTCTGGATCGAGGATCATGTAAGTATCTTTTCTTTGCGCCCCTAGACCAAAACAAGCAGTTAACCATTTGAATATCAGCTTCTCACTGAAAGGGAATTGCTTCTCCTTGCTGAATAACTATAAAACAAGCCTTCTTTTCAAGTAATCTACATGGGCACCTTGAAGAGATACATTGTCTGTGAAAGGCTCCAGACCCACTGACACATTTTCAGTGCTTCAGCACTGCTCATTCCTCTACGTAGCTGGCAAAAATACCTGGTGCATCCAGGTATGAGGGAGCATATGATCTCTTCACATGTGACAGTTCTTGTTTCTAGTGGGCAATTTCTAGGCCTTAGCATTATCACATGAAGGAAGGAGTAATGTCACCACAAGGCTCCTTCTAGGCTTGGGTCTAACACCAGGTATCTGGTGCCGGCTGTGACAGAGGAAGCATGACTGGTGAGATGAATATCAGTGGGTTTGCCACAGACAGACTGCCCTGAGCGGGAAACTGACAGTGTCTCTTTAAAGAGGAACCATGGGCAGTCGAAAACGTAACCCTTGCAGTGGGGCCACCCCCTCACTGCAAGGGATAAATGCTCGTTTTTGTCTAGGGTCTGCAATAACAGAAATAAATATTCAACCGAACCTCAAACCCCGCTGACTGCTAGACAGATCCCTGTAGCCTCCCCCCCCCCACTGTGCCCCCCACTGTGGCGATAGACTGTCCCTCTGCGTCCTCACGTCCAGTACACTCTATTGGACATGATGATCATGGGTTCTTAGACCACTGGAGCGAATGGGAAGAGAGTCTGCAGGGACCGGTCCAGCAGCCAGCTGGGTCTGAATTTCGGGTGAGTATTAGTTATTTAAGACCCTAGACGGACACGAGCAATTAACCCTTGCAGTGCAGGAGTAATCCCATTGCAAGGGTTAAGTTATCTACTGCGTGAAGTTTTTTTAAAGTATATGTAAACCCTAACTGGAAGATTATTTGAGATTTTAATGACTGGGTGTACATCTACTTTACCCATCCACTGGTAATTATTAAATATTCAGCTGTTATCTAAAGTTTATTGGGCTGTTTATCCCCCCAATGTATTGATGACAGTGGTGACATTAGTCCTCAATTACTTTATATTAATTTCAAGCATCAAAACTAAAGCTAAGCAAGACCGTGTGTCACCCTAATGCTTTAAATTAACTTTATTTCTTCTTTAAACATTACTTCCATGTAATTATACTGCATATTTATCCAGTGTCCCTTGACTTTCTCATTGCATCCTCAATGTAAATAGTGAGATTCAACAGCTAAGCAGATAAGAGCAAGGACAAAGTCTATTTCTAAAGTAATCATGCAGAATGAGCCAGGGTTTATTAATTTGATTGTTACTTTTAATAGTCGCTAACCTTTGGACTCTATTTTTTTTTCTTCTTCTCCACATAACAATAGGCAGGTATGTTTGGGATTACAAAAGATCAAGATTGGCTATTATTCAATGAAAAGTTAAATTATTACTTTGTAGACAGACTCTAAATATTTGACTTGACAGAATATCTTGCTTTTCTGATAATGATAGTAATTTTCCTGGGGCCTAAAAACCTGTAATAATATTTGCTGGGATTTTAGAAATTGAATGTACAATAGTAACGTGTCTGCTGGACAGGTTCCTGCGCCAGGGGCAATGCAGTTCAAGAAGACACTAAAAGGTTTTTATTGTGCATATTATTTTATCAGAAATATTTAATGCCTTACACTTTTTCCTTTTTCCAGTGACTTTGCAATGCAAGAAGACAGTTCAACAGAACAAGTTCAAGGCAACAGGCTCGATTTGACTGAGCAGAAAATAAATATGATGGTACTGGATATCTGCCACAAACCAGGTGGCAGCGAGTACCTGAGGCAAATTCATCACATCATCCAGCTCAATGAGGTAGGGAAACTGCCTTTTTGCCGAGCAATTAGGTGTGTATTGGGTTGAGGCAGAGTATGCTGGCAGCTAAGCGTTCGTCAAAGACACAGTAATACTTTTTAAAGTCAATAGCAGACGGACTATTGCAGTAGAATTCTGCATATTTACATTGCAGTGGGATTTGCCTACAAAAGGGTTATTGTGTTAACATTATTTTGTTTATGTTATGGAAATTATAAGATGGCACACATTCTTTATTCCTGTTGAAAAGAAAAAGTGTGTTTGTGCATTTGTAGATAGATAGAAGTATACTGTATATACACACAAACACACATAGTAGCGTACAAGTGTGTGTGTGTCCAAGGAGAAAGTGAAAACAGGACACATGCTCTTCAGTTGGGAGTACACGTGGATTGATGCTTTATTGGGGCACATTTTAACAATCTTATGATAGATTCACAGTGTTCTGTAAAAATTGTATTATGCTTAAAGAAAATGAAAATGTAAATCCAGGTAGTTGGTTTTGTTTATTGCATCACGCTTTAGCACGTTTCTCATATTGCTTCTAAACCTGAAGTCTATTGTCTATTGTTCCTGTACTGAGTAACCTCCCTCTCATTCTCCATTGTGTACGGCTGAAGATGCAATGGGCTCAGATGAAGGGCGTTGTTCGGCACCATGGAATCACATGGGCTTGCTTTTGCACTGGCTCATCATCTTCTGGACCTGTCAGAATATGGGGACTAACAGTCCTCCTTTTGTTTTCTTTTTGTTTTTATGCCAGCAGGGCAAGATGAATGCTTGAAACAAAGCGAGACCGTGCAGGATGTGTACCCTCAATGCAACATTTTCGTATTTGACTGTAGTATAGCTTTACACTAACATTTAAAAAAAAATTAATTATAAAAAGATATTCCAAAAAATGTCCAATCCTTTCATTGCAATGCTTTAGTTCTCAGTGCAATGTTTTGAGTATTTGCTGACATCTAAATTCATGGAACTTCACCCAAAGCAGACCCAGATAGTCCTACCATAAGCACCTACCATAAAGAGATCTTTAGTACATATGCATTTTTACCCTAAACTACAAATATTTATTTTCAGATTTATGGGAAAAAAAACATATATTCATATCACATATTATGAAATTGTATTAGATACGCTGAAAATATACACTTATACTTAGAGAGCTGTGATTTTAACATTATAATTCTACAATATATCCAGGCAGTTTTTTTATCGATTAAATATTATTTTGTATTAAATTAATACTGAAGCATGTACTGTGTTTTACCTTGCATTTTCTCTTATATTTTTTTATATTTCTTTTTTTCCACTGTGGATACCACATATATCTTTATGCATTGTCTTTTTTAAAGCAAATATGTATATAGAGTGCTGTTTTCCGAAATGGACATTGTTCTGTGCTAATATCTCAGTGTGCTTTGCATTTTAGGTCTACCTGAATGAGGCATTGTCTTCCCAACATTCAGAACAGGCAAATACACATTCAGAAGCGTTTGATTTGACCTTGACCAGTGCAGAGGACCAGCTTTCATCCTTCAACCCTCTGCATACATTCACACTACCTGATTTAAGTGCTGAGAGTGAGGTAGGAAACTGAATAGCAAGACATGTTATTGTAATTAATACAATAGATGCATCCAGGGGCTGCTGAAAGACAGTGAATGTCTCAATGAACACAATCAAATTCTGATAATTTCAAACATGTTATTTATGAAAGATTATTGTGTTTTTTCTTTCTGATAATGTGGATACAGCTGTTTGAGTAAAAGGCATTCTACTTTATGATTGTAAAACTTATTTTGTGCGGTTTCTATGTGTCTATATATCTAAGTCATAGGGGCATGCCTGGGCACACCCTAATCACCCCAAGGACAACACCTATCCTGCAACAGTGGGTGCCATGTTTTTAGTCACCAAGCTGGTGGGGAGATCAGAAAAATCTCTTTGTGACCGGCTCAGTGATGCAGAGCGCAGCAGCACTTGCCACTTAGATTCCTCACATAACAGCCTTGATGCCTGGGAAGCCGTGAGAGACTGTCGCTGCGGCTTTCTAGGCTTCCCATCAAATCAGGAACCTGGGAGGGTGGTCACATGACCACCTGTCAGGCTCCCTGCTTCTTAACTGTATCCCTGCTTGAAGGAGACAGTTAAAGAGATGGGAATCCTGGATACTTAAGGTCTGTGTATGTATGAGATTATATATAT